TCCATCTTTTCTAGGAAATTCTTGAAAAACCTTATAAGCGTAGATTTGAACTCTATATCCAGCCGCTTTTTGTCCTCCATTTCTTTCGTTTGTGATCTATTTCGTTGTCGCATTTCGCAGCTACAGATGGGGCGGAGTTTCAGGGTGGAGCCTGCAGCCTTGGCTTCCGTCAGCCCCGCCCTATGCGGGTCCTTCAGTGCTCGCTGCTGGTGCCTCTGAGAGAAAGGTGCCCTCGATTTTCGCCTGCTGCCAAACAGTCAATGCTCTCCCCAATGAGCCCGGTATTGGGGTTCAGTTCAGTTGGAAGTGGAGTTGGAGGTGGCGTTCAGAGCAGTCTGGAGCCCCTGTCTCCTTCCCGCCAGGCAATCCCGCAGCACAGCCGGCTGTCCCTTCTCTGCACGCACTGTGTGCGCCGCCGGGACCTCCTTTCGCCACTTCCCCGGGTGCCGCCTCGCAGCCCAGCTCCCTCTGTGTGAGCCTGGGTCCCCAGGGTCTGGCCTAGGCCTGGGGTTCAGAGCAGTCAGAATGGGGCCCAGCACAGTCGGAGTTTTATCTCCTTCCCTCTAGGGAATGCCTGCCAGGCACTTGGCCTCCCTCCTCTCTGGCTCCGTCCTCTCCGAGTGCCGCGTGTCTCTGTACCTTGGGCTTTTCCAGCTCCTCCGCGCTTCCTTCTGGTTTACTCCTTGCTTCTCGTTGTAGAATTTCCAGTCAGTCGACTTTCCTGTAGTTCTGGTTAATGTCCATTTTATATTTTAGTTGTATTTTATTGAAATTGTTGTGTGCGGCTGTGGCTAGGTGTTACCTGAGCGCAGCCATCTTGGATCCCAAGACAAAGGAATTTATTTGCATTCTTGAGTAGGCCCGAGCATTCCGGGTGCTTGACTGGATTTACATATCAAAGCGCACTACCCGACACCTGGGCAAAGATAAGAGTCAGTGCTGAGCACACATAAGAGTCAGTGCTGAGCACACATCTGCCTTTTTGGTAAGATCTGTAACCAAGATGTGGCTTTGCCTGTCGCCTTGGGTTCAGCTGACAATAATTAAAGAATGCCCATGTGCCTTCCCAGGCACTGCCTACACCTTTACCTATGTTCCTAATTCTGCTGACTCTCGAGTGGTTACCATGTATCTCTTTTTGAGAAAAAAAAAAATGGAAAGAATCATGCCCAGGTGGCTGCATTTAGTGTACATGGTACACTACTGATTGTGAAAAATTCAGTACAAGTTCCTGTGTCCAGTATCATTTGTTACCATGTTCCGGGAGCTGTTCTAAGCACTTAAGAACATACATGTAAGGCTTATATATTCTTTACACCAACCCTTAGAGGTAGGGACTATTATTACCCCCATTTTGCACTGAGGTTTCAAGACTAACATTAGGTCACTTGCCAGAAGACACAGTTAATACAGAGTCTGAAAGCTGGTTTCATTGAAACCTAATCTAAGGCAATCAGGGCCTCCTTGAGTTCCCTTTGGTGGGTTTAGTGGCATCTAAACACCTCCGCAGGGAAGGATCAGCACATGGTGGGGCAGGAGGGAAGGGGCAGCTTCTTGCTGGTAGAAAGGGGAGGCCCACTTCTGACCCTGTGGTTGAAGAGTTGCAGGGAATTCCCACGTACAGGGTGGGCTCTCGGAAGCACAGTTTAACAGCCAGAGAAAGAAATGACACATTTATCTGTTTTATTCCTTCCCATCAATAGAACATGTTTTTGTTGAGTGAATGAATGTCTGTTCAATGAACCTACCACGTGGAGGCTGGTTTTCAGCTAACCGATACCAAGCTGGCAGCGTCATAGAGAAGTCACCTCTCCACTTCCTGTTTTTCAGGGTCCAACACGAATGTTGTGGGCATCTCCCACGTAGAAGCATTTGTGTAGAAACGATGCTGGGGCTAGAGAGTGGCAAGTGGAAGGTCACTGTTGGGCCCGAGGCTTCTGGCTTTGCCCTGTGGGGTGCTCCTTCTGCACCCCACCAGCAAGCCCCCACGCCGAAGCTCACAGCCCACCCTGAGCATGCGTCAGCCTCAGGGCCTGCAGGTCCCTTTTCTAGGCTCTCCCTGGTCCTCAAGGCCAATCTAACGGATACTTTTTACTTTGTTGATGTTTTAAATCTCCACATTATTGTTTACCATTTTATTTGTGGTAAGCGAAACCCTTTTTTAGGGGGTGGATATGAAAAAAACGGTAAGTACTGAACTCTCGCTGTAGCCTCCGCAGTGCCCGGCTGCTCACGCCTGAGCTGCAGGTGGAGAGGGAAATACTGCTTGAGATGGAAGTGCCCTTTCCTGTCTTCGCCTGGCCCAGGCTCTCGTCCACAGCCCTCCCCTTGTCCGTCCGTTTCCCCCGCGAGGAGGGGAGTGCCTGCTGCAGGACGTTCTCCTCCCCCGGTCCAGGGACCCGGAGAGCTGCCCCGAGCCCAGACTTTGCTTCCACCCGAGGCCGCAGAGCCTGCTCCGAGCTGAGCCGCAGTGCCTGGTTCTGGCCTGCTGGATTGTCAGGGAGGAGCGGGTAAGACCAAGACTTTGTCTCATAGGAAATGCTAACCTTGCACAGCCGAAAGCTTTTCTGGAAGGAAGGGTGTTTTGAGCCACACACTAGCCAGTCAAAGGACCAGGCGGCGGGACACGCAGTCGGAACCGCCAGCCGCAGGCCCGGATGGAGAAGACACGCTGCTGTCCTAGAGCCGAGGGTTTTATATGTTATGTTTTGGGGTAGAAATATGGGAGTTGTTTAGAAAGACTCGACACTGGCTATAGATGAGGGAAAAGGCGAAGAGAGGAAGTTCTAGGATAGTGCATTGTTCCTGCGGAAGAGACATTTACTGTGGGCTGGTGTGGGCACCGGAGGGCGGTCTGCTCCTGTGGGCGCTGCCTCGTGGGCTGGGGTGGACGCCACGGTCCTATCTGAGGCAGAGCTCCCACAGAGCTCCCACTCGGGACCCGGGGCCTCGCTGGCCCGCAGCCATCAGCTGGGGAATTGCTCTGGCCTTTCTCTCCGTCTCTGGCCCGCTGTAACTTAATTTAGGACATCGTAGATGTTTTTCTTGGCAGAAGTTTTTCAGCTTTCGCTTCTGCTTTCGGACACTGGGGGAACGTTTTCTCCTTGCTTTCTGTTCTGTAAACATCTTTGGGTTTTACAAACTAAGGTTGGGGGAGGCAGTTCTGGGGAGCAGGAAGGCTCTGTCTTTGACCTGGTACCGGCTGGGTGTGTTCATTAATGGTGTCTCAGGCTGTGCACTGAGGATTGGCATGTTTTTCTGAGTGTGTATTTTACCCCAACGACAACAGTGAGTGTCTTGTGATTGTTATGAGAGGTGTAGCAGCTCATCTGTTACCGAGAAAGAATAAAAGAAAAGAAGGCGATGGAAGAAGTTAATTTTTTTAAATCCTCACCCGAGTATATGCTTTTATTGATTTTAGAGAAAGAGGAAGAGAGAGAGAGAGAGAGAGAGAGAGAGGAGAGAGAGAGAGATCTATTGCCTCCTGTTGGCACCCCACCCAGGGGTGAACCCACAATCTTGGCTCAGATGCTCTAACCAACCAAGCCACCTGCCAAGCCTAATTTGTCTAAATTGATGTGAAAGTGGGGTGTCCAAGGTGAAAGTGTGGACTGACTCAATAATTTTACTTTTGGCATTTATCTTAAAGAAACAAAGATGTGTACAAAGTTTTAACAGTGTCATAGTAGTGAAAAATTGGAAGCAATTAAATGGGGAGCAGTAGTTAAATAAATGATGGCTCCACCAAAAAAGGATTATTATTTTGCCACTAAAGAGTATGCCATGAATGTTTTTTTTTTATTAAAGCATGGTGCAATCCCATTTTTTAATAAAAGGCAAAATATATTTTACACATATGCATAGAAAATAGTCAGAAGTATACCCTAATATTAACAATGGATTATACCGGGGGCACAGAATGATGGATGATTCTTATTTCCTTGTCTAAGTTTTTTCTTCCAGCGAGCACACATTTCTGTGCAACACCGTGAGAGAGGAAATGGGTGAGTAGACAACAGTTTAGGCAATTAGCTTCCTCACTCCTCACCAGGGCAGAGTCTGCTCTGCCACATCCTCACCAGACCAGCTCTCTAGCGATTCTGCCTTTACAGACCGAGAAGTCAGCAGGGACCCCAGCGCGTGTTCAGATACGGCATCTGCAGTTCAGAGATCCAGGGGATCTCCATTCGACTTTCCTGACGCTCAAACCGTAGGGTAAGGGGTGGCCTCTCCACTTTCATGGGTCCCTCTGCAATGAAGAGCCGGGAGAACCATTTTCCCTCCCCTTAGGGATTTCACAGAGAATTTTTTTTTCTATTTTAATCTTTCACAGAGATTTTATTTAGAGATTGAGTGAATTCATTTTCCAAGACTAGGTTCCCCTCTCCCGGTTCATTGGAAGAACCTCTACTGGCTTGGACTGTAAAAGCCTGCATACTTTCCAGCCACATTACAGAACTCGGTGAAAGGCAGATGTTCTCTTATTTCATGATTTTCTCAGGGTCCTGCGTGCAGTGGTGGGTCTCTCAAGAAATGACTTGTTCCCGTGTGGTTTGAGGCACAGAACTGCACGCTGAGCCTGAGGCCTCCAGAAGGATGAAGGGTGTAGAGGAGGGGCCCAGCTCAGCCGTGACTCTGATCAAGCCTCTCTTCCCCCTACCCCCTTCCCGCCCTGGACTTCAGCCTCCTCTGCAAAATGACCAGGGAGGAGGTCTGGACCAGGATAGGGAGGCCCTCACAGCTCTAACCGCCGGTGCTGAGAGCACAGCCGGCCCTTTCCCCCAATACGTGAGCGCGGTGTCATTGCAACCCTATGGTAGGTATTGTTTGGTGTCAATTAAAGACAAAGTAACCCTCCACCCCTCCACCCAACGAAAGTAGTAAGAACAAGAATGAATACACAAAGAAGGTGAAACCCCGAAGGGAAGGGCCGTTGCTCCCCGTAAGGAGAGTTCTCAGTCTGAAGTTTGTAGTGGCTGTTGCACAGGCCCCTCGCCATCTCAGACGTATCTCTCGGAAGGGCTGGGCTTGCCTCCAGGCCTGACCACGGGCCTGGAAGAGAGATGACCATCACTGCAGCAAGTGCAGTGCAGCAGCACCCATGTCCACCCTCCTCCCTGCCTCCCAGGCTTGTGAGGGTCTGAGGACCAGTCCCTGGGACTCTGCACAGGCCTGGCGGGGTGACCCCAGTACCCTACCAAGTGCCTGACATGTGCCACCTTATTTGTTTAACCCTCAGCAAACAAAGAGAAGACACTGGTAATGAGGGCTAGAGAACGTGCTGGTGGTGGAGGTAGGATCTGGACACAGAACCTCTGTTAAGGTCCCCATTGGAGGTGAGAGAAGGAAAGGAAGCTGATAATCAAATCCTCAGCTGACCTGACTCTCAGTCCCCAGGAGGGTCGCAGGGGAGGACGTGAGCAAACCACCACCATCCACCGAGTAGAGCTACTGTATTTACAAGTCCTCCTGACCCCCAACAGCCTTCAGAGGGACCCCCTCTCGGGTCCCTCCCTGCGCCATCACGTGCAGAGCTCCCGTGTCACCCGCCGCTGTCCCAGCCATTGCACAGCAGACATGTTTGCCTCAACTCAACCCCCCTAACACGCTGTCTCCTGGGCTGTGTCTCTAACCTTCAGCGCTGGCAATCCCAATAAAGTTTTCAAATGCATTAAAAAAAAAAAAAGTTCCCTTGATAACCACACTAGGAATGTGTGCGAATTCAGTACTGGGCCAGCGCTCCCCCAATGGGCTGATTTGCCATGAGCGTCCCGTGTGCACACGCCAAGCTCCAAAACCTCTGCCGAGGCCCAGCTGCCCGCGGTGTGTGGCCCCAGCGGCGTGTCACCTGCTTTGCTTTGTGTCAGGGCCGAGCTTTCCTCTCAGCTGCTCATTTCAGCATGGACATTTTCAGAAAGAGAAAGGGGAGGCTTCTCCTCCGAAAGCTCCCAACGGAACCCCAAGTATTGAACTTGCTAAAGTTCCTTCTGTTTTTACAGCCTTTATCCTCTTGGTCTGTCGCCTACAATTCGTGCATTGAACATTCACTACATTTCCGTTGTTAAAAACAAGGACCTGTAAGATCTTGAACTTGCATCCCTTCAGGGAAATATCAAGGAGAGTGACTGCACGCCCTCCCTGGGTATAAAGTCTGGAATGCTTCCATCTCCTGAAAGGAACGTGAATGTGGTTGGTTTCCTCAGGCCCTGCTCTCCTGGCCCCAGGCACAGGGAGGAGCCGAGCTTTGGACAGAAGCGGGCTCTGCTACTTGCTGGCTCCATGGCCTTGAACAAGTCACCACGTGTGCTAAGCCCCAGCTTCCCCACCCGTAAAACAGTGGCCACAGGGACTGCTTTACAAGTTGTTATGAAATTTAAATACAGGGTGTCCCCAAAAATGCATACACACTCCGAATAATGACTAATTCCCACGGGTTAAATCTGAGGGGAAACATTGAAATTGATAATTATTCGAAGTGCGTGCACATTTCTGAGAGGACACCCAATATACTTCCTTGGCGAGTCCTGGGGACACTGGAGGCTTTCACCAAACGGTGGCTGTTGTTACTGACAATCTGAGTGTGTATGTCTCTGCGCCTGGGGTAGGTCTCCTGGCCTCGGAGCAGCGATCTGCGAGATGGGACCCGGGTGTCTGCCTAGCACTAGGGGTGCCGTGAGGACTGGAGAGATCCGGAGTGTAACCCGCATCGCAGTGCGGGGCGGGGCATAGATGCTCGTGAGGTGTTAGCTCGGGGCTGCCTGGGCCTCAGCGGCCTCAGCGGGAAGGAGAGAGGAGACGGAGGCCTTGTTCTCTTCCTGATCGTTTCATAATGACCAGGGCTGAACCTGGCTGAACCACTTGAGCTGCCTCTGACGCCCCCTTTCTGTCACTCCCGTTCTCGGCAGCCAGTCCAGGCCCTGCATGGGCACAGGGAAATTAGGAACTAAAGCTATCATTTTCTTGGTTCGGGTGCTAAAAGATGAACTTTCACCGAAACCGGTTTGGCTCAGTGGATAGAGCGTCAGCTGCGGACTCAAGGGTCCCGGGTTCGATTCAGGTCAGGGGCATGTGCCTTGGTTTCGGGCACATCCCCAGTGGGGAATGTGCAGGAGGCAGCTGATTGATGTTTCTCTCTCATCGGTGTTTCTAACTCTCTATCCTTCTCTCTTCCTCTCTGTAAAAACTCAATTAAAAAAAAAAAAGTAAAAAAAAAGATGGACTCTTAAGAAACTAGCTAGAGCAAGTAGGGGGGGGGGGGGGGATCCTTTCTTATGAAAGTACCAAACCGCAGCTGTAATCATCCAGATAAAAAAGATGTCAGGTTTTTTGAGGAGCTGGAGTAAATTGGGAGACCCTTCCTATTGTTAATTTTTGGCGCTAGGCCTAAGTAAGACGCAGATTTCTGAAGTCATAGCGCTCCCTGTCAGCCCCGCCTGGGCCTCCGTCTCCTCCATTTGCCAGCCTGTGGCCTCGCCGCTCAGGCACCAGGCCCGGCCCCTGGCCCCAGGACTCCACCGCTCAGGCCTCTCAGAGGACTCCCCACCATCTGCTGCCCGGAGCCAGGACCTGAGCCAGGGCTGCCCAGCGGTCAGCGGGCCCAGCAGCTCTGAGACTCACCTGGGACATTTGCAAACGCGCCTCCGGTTCCCTGGGAAGGAAAGAGAGATGGAGTGACTGCGGCCCAGCAGGCCCCACTGCGGCCCAGCAGGCTCCTTCCCCTTCCTGTTCCTTCAGGTTCCTAACTCCCGGGAGCCCAGGGGAGGGCTTCTTTTCCATCCTTCTTCGCATCAATTTAAAAAAAAGAAAACTCCCCTCCACCCCTCCCCGCAAAAACAACATCGCAAACACAGACGTGGTTGCCTGCGTGGGAACCAAAGCGGGGTAGGGGCCATGGGGAGAGGGCCAAGGATGAACCTCAACCCGTGGTGGGTCCCGGCCTCAAGGGCACGGGTCCTAGGGCCCAGGGGCCACCTCCCCGGGAGCCTCAGATAACCCCGGCCCCGCACTCACTACCGGCTGCGCGGAGGGACTGGCAGCGACCTGTCCTCCATTAAAACCTCCCTGGGCGATGGGAGGCGGGAGGGAAGCGCTTCCCCGCGGCTTGTCTTTAGGGAGAAACGGGCTGTGCCTGGCCCTGCGGGGCAGCTCAGAGTCCCAGGAGTCTCCCCTTACCCCCAGCCAGGGCTGCCCCCCTCCCAGCCAGGTTACCCCCCAGCCAGGGTTACCCCCCAGCCAGGGCTGCCCCCCCCCAGCCAGGGCTGCCCCCCTCCCAGCCAGGGTTGCCCCCCAGCCAGGGTTACCCCCCAGCCAGGGCTGCCCCCCCCAGCCAGGGCTGCCCCCCTCCCAGCCAGGGTTGCCCCCCAGCCAGGGCTGCCCCGCCTCCAGCCAGGGCCGCCCCCCAACCAAGGCTGCCCCCAGCCAGGTTACCCCCAGCCAGGGCTGCCCCCCCCAGCCAGGGTTACCCCCCAGCCAGGGTTACTCCACCCCCAGCCAGGCGCCCCCCCCCCCCCCCCAGGGCGGCCTGGAGCGGCGGCAGCGGGCGGCCCCCGCGGCCCCGCACTCACGGTGGCTGCAGACGGCGGTGGCGATCAGGGCCAGGAGCAGGGCCGCGCAGGCCCCGGCCAGCGGCGCCCAGATGTAGATGACGCAGGCGAAGGTCAGGTCCCCGGGCTCCGCTGCCGCACGGAGACGCGGACGCTCAGCAGCGGCCCGGGTCCCCCTAACCTCCCCGCCGCGCGGGGTGGTCTCCGCTCCCCCCTCCCGGAGCGGGGCGGCCCCGGCGGGCTCTCCGCGGTCCAGACCCCCCCTCCCCCCGCCCCGGGTCCCGCAGCCTCACCTGCGGGGCGGGCCGCCGGCCGGCAGGTCTCGGCGCGCGGGGAGCGCGGCAACGACGCGTTGGTGGCGGGCGGCGGGGGCGGCGGCGGCGGCGCGGTGGTGGGCTTGGCTGCGGGCACAGCGCGCGGTTGGGGACCGGGCCGGGGCCGCCTCCGGGGCCGCCTCCCCCCGGGGCCGCCTCCCGGGGACCCCCAGAAGGACCGGCTGCAGCCGCGCGGTTCCCGGCCCCGGAGGCGCCCGGCGCTCCGGCTGGGACAGCAGCCCCCTCCCTGCACCCGCCTCTCCGGGCTCAGCGCCGGGCGCGCTGCCGTGGGCTCGGGGGTCCCCACGCTCCCCGGACGGGTAAACGGAGGCGCGGGGGGTTTAAGCACCGCGCCCAGGGCCCCACGAGCACCGGGACCCGAGCCCGGATCGGCTGGACCTAGAAAGCTATCTTCAGTCCCTACTCGGCCGCACGCCGGCCTCAGTTTCCCCGTCTGTGACTGGGAACGGGATCTAAGGAGCCCCCAGGGGCTCCAGGAGGCTCGGAAGCGGGGCGTTCGTGTGAAAAACCGGTTCAGAGGGCAGTGCCCACCCCACACCTGCGCGGAGGGACTGGCAGGGACCTGTCCTCCGTTAAAACCTTCCTGGGCGATGGGAGGCGGGAGGGAGGCGCTTTCCCGCGTCCTCTCTCCAGGGAGAAACTGGCTGTGCCTGGCCCTGCGGGGCAGCTCAGAGTCCAGAAACCTCCACCCCCAGCCAGGACTGCCCCCACCTCAGCCAGGGCTACCCCCCCCTTCAGCCAGGACTGCCTCCCCCTCAGCCAGGGCTGCCCCCCCACCCCAGCCAGGGCTTCCCCTCCCCCCCCCCCAGCCATTGTTACCCTCCAGCTAGGGCTGCCCCCCCTCAGCCAGGGTTACCCTCCAGCCAGGGCGGCCCCCCCTCAGCCAGGGCTGCCCCCCCCAGCCAGGGCTTCCCCCCCCCCAGCCATGGTTACCCCCCAGCCAGGGCTGCCCCCCCCTCAGCCAGGGCTGTCCCCCAGCCAGCGCTGCCTCCCCCAACCAGGACTGCCCCCCGCGGCAGTGACCGGCGCGGACCTGGCAGGAAGACGGGCACGAAGGGGCTGAAGTACATCACCGAGTTGCTCATGCAGGAGCAGAAGTAGTAGCCCTCGTCCTGCTCGCGGAAGCTGTCCAGGGTGAGGACGTAGCGGTCGCTCCCGATCTTCTTGCCGGAGAACCGGCCGGCGTCCAGCTCCGGGGAGAGCTTGACGCGGTTGGAGATGAACAGGAGGAAGGCGGGGCTGCTGGCGGGGCCGCCGGCGGGGTCGGCCTTCTGCACCAGCCAGGAGCAGCCGCCGGCCAGCGTGGGCAGCAGCACCTCGCAGTTCAGCTCCACCCGCCGGCCCGGGGCGCCCTCCACCTGCGGCGGCCTCATCCGGAACACGCTGGACCCGAGGGCCGGGGCGGCGTCTGCGGGGCGCAGGCGGAGAGGCTGAGCCCGAGCCCGGCGCCCCCTCGTCTCCCTGCCCCCCTGTACCCCACCCCCCCGCCATTCCCGAGGGTCTCGAACTCACGGAGCATCAGGCCCAGGGGCAGGAGCAGCCGGGCCATTGGCGAGGCCATTGCGCTCCCGCGGCTTCGCTCCGGGCTCCGGGCTCTGGTGGCTTCGGTGCGAGTAGAGGCGCTGGAGACCACGCGGTGGGACGCCGCGGGGAGACGCTGCTGCCTTCGGACGGCCCCCCAGCCCGACGGCCCCCTCGGAGGATGTGATGTCACCCGTCGCCCCGCTTTCTGCGGTTGTCACCTTCCAGCCAGCGAGGGGGCTGGGGCCTGGAGCAGGAGCCCCGGGACAGCCTGGGGTGGGGTGGGGTGCTCGGGGGCAGCTGAGACCTGCGGGCCGAGGCTGAAGGAAAGGGCTTGGAAACGGCCCTCGGAAAGGGCACGCTTGTGGGGGTGGGAGAATGGTGCGCGGTCAGAGGCTTCAAAAACAGGGCGTGGGAGCGAGCAGCAACCAGAGAGAGAGAGTCCACGCGGCTCGCCCTCACTCAGTGTTTGTAGCGCCGTTACCTGGGGGCTGTGTCTGCGAAAAGGGCACCGAGGGCTGGGCAGGAAACGGGGTTCATGGCTTGCCCACTTCTCGGGCACTGGGTCAGGGGAGTCTGGTGTTCACCCAGGAGGGACCGTGAGGCAGGCGGATCCGGGGGGCGACCACACCCCGACTCTCTCCTGGCCAGTCCTCCAGTTGTGCACATTGGTCTCCTGACTCTGAGATAGCAGGATCTGAGAGTGTCACTCCTGCCACCTCCCAGGACCTGCAGGACTGGATGAGAGCTGAACCCTGGCTGGGCCCAGAGGCTTTGAGTGCTGGCTTCCCCCAGACTCTGCCCAGCTCCCTACCACCACCACCACCACCACCACCACCACCACCACCACCACCACACCCCCCCACCCCCCCGCACCCCCCTCCACCTTCCCGCAAGCATTCTCTCTCCCAGGCCTTGGGATCCTCCGAACTCCTCTTGCCTTTGCTTGGGAGACTTTCTGCTTCGGCCCTGGGGCCAGCTCCCGGGCTGTGAGGCTTGGACCTCATTTCTCTGTATCCGTGGTTCTGGGTGCTGGGAGGGAGACGGGGGTAGCCAGGTGAATGCCTGGGTGAATGCAGGCAGTTTTTCTTCTCTGCCTGGCACACGGGGCCCCTTCCTCGTTGCCTATTGCTGCCCTGAAACCTTCTAGACCGCGGGGGTGCCCTCCTCCCTGTTCTTCGGGGCTTCCAGCCCTGCCCGCTTTGAATCCTTATCGGGTGCCCTTCAGACTGTTTAATCCTGGAGCCAAGCCACCGGGCATTATCTGTCCTATTGTCTGCCCACCTGGTGGGGACCTGTCCCAGGCACCCCTGGATGTCACATCTCAGCTTGGGCTCAGCTGTATTTACCAACTGTACTCCCTTTGTGGAATCCTAACGAGTGTCCAATGGGCTTTTTTTTTTTTTTTTTTAAATGACATTGATTTCCATGTTCTCTTTCCCCTTCTCGAAGCATCAAGATGCTTACTAAAACATGGAGCATTTGACATTTTCTATTTGACACTTAAAAAAAAAAAAAAAATATATATATATATATATATATTATTGATTTTTTTACAGAGAGGAAGGGAGAGAGATAGAGAGTTAGAAATATCAATGAGAGAGAAACATCGATCAGCTGCCCCCTGCACGCCCCGCACTGGGGATGTGCCCGTAATCAAGGTCCATGCCCTTGACCAGAATCGAACCTGGGACCCTTCAGTCCGCAGGCCGACGCTCTATCCACTGAGCAAAACCAGTTTCGGCTATTTGAAACTGTTTTTAAAGTGTCTTTTAACTTGTAAGAATCACATATTCTTGAAAAACTTCAGCCAATACAGAAAGGAATAGAGGGAAAGTGCTCCGTCTCAGCTTCTCCCATCGCCACCCGCTCTCCAGAGAAAACCAGTCACCTCTGAGTGTGTCCCTCAAATATTATCTGTTCATGAGACAGATGTTTTAGTTACATGCAGTTGTACTATAAATACAAGTATAAATAAATGAGTATATGTATGTTTGCAACTTACCTTTTTTATCGAACAGAAGAAGGGAAGGTTTTCATGTAAGCTTATGTAGAGTTACCCCATTCTTCTGAATGGGTGCGTTTTCACTTAAGCAGTTTCTCCATTTTTGTAATGACTAGCAAGGCTGTAGTAGATATAATGTATCTGAATCCTTGAGGACTTGCACGGTACATGTACCATTTCCACATTAAAGATAAGAGAGGCTTAGGAAGGAAACCCTTTGTAATTATGGTTATGAATAGGGTCCCCTGGCATACGGATGTGTGTGTGTATGTGTGTGTGTGTGTGTGTGTGTGTATGTGTGTGTGTGCCCCTGGGTGTGTAGACACAGGGCTGGGCCTTCCCTCACATGAGTGAAAGTAACAGCCAAGTCCAGACAGGCCAGTGGCCCTCCGATCCTCATTTTAGATAGCAGCTTGCCATTTTCATTTGTTTGTCTAATTTTTTGTTAATCCTCAGCAGAGGATATCTTTTTTCCATTGATTTTTAGAGAGTGTGGAAAAGAGGAGGAGCGGCACAGAGAAACATTGATGTGAGAGAGACACATCGATTGGTTGCCTCCCATACACAATCATGCCGGGCCAGGGATTAAGCCTGCAACCGAGGTAAGTACCCTTGACTGGAATCAAACCTACTAACCCAGGGCTGATGCTCTAACCACTGAGTAACTGGGTAGGGCACAGCTTGCCATTTTGTCTCTTCTCTATTCTCTGCTGGCCAAAGGATGCAATCAGGGGGGCGCTGAAGAGGGGGAAAGCTAGTATTCCTCACCCCGAGGAGGAAGCATGGAGGGGAGCCAGGGTCAACCTGCGGATATTTGGATCTTGGAAACTATGTCCCTGAGTCGATGAAGGTCGGATTTTGGGGTGCAATGCATGGACATAGAGTAGACCTCCCCCCTCCCCTCAGTATCCAGGAAATGAGACTTGGAGGCCTTCCAGCCTGCGGCTAAGAGCAGTCTGAGCCCTGGGAGAGGCAGCCCCCTTTGCACAGAGCACGACGAAGGGTGGGGGATGCCAAGGCATCATGTCAAACGCACCAAGGAGGCTGTGTGACCCCAAAGTATTTTTCACAGAACGTGGTGGATTTTCATTGTAACCACAATGACATCCGCTGTGTATCAGGCAGAAGAGCAGATGCAATTGCAAAAGTTTTGGGGATGCTCGCTTGCTCTGGGGCCAGGTGTGCAGAGGGCTGGATTGGCCTGCCTCTCCCCTCCAGGTGAGCTTCCCCCCCCCCCCCCCCCCCCCCCCGCCCAGTGCAGTGCTCACCCGGGATGGCGGGTGAAAACATGAGAACGGCTGCATTCGCCAAGCAAGCCCCTTATTTTTTAAGAGAGAGAGAGAGAGAGAGAGAGAGAGAGAGAGAGAGAGAGAGAGAGAGAGAGAGAGGAGAGAGAGAGAATCCGTTTCTATGCTGAATTGAAACAGGCCTCCCCCCCTCCCCCTCAAGGTATTTGTTCATAAAACATGGAAATAAAATAACTTTAATTTACACAACTTAAAGACATATTTAGAATGCATAACTGGGTGGGGCAGTGGTAGGAAATTAATCAGGGCTCAGTGTCACAGTTCCTAAGATGCTGACGGACAACCTGGGATCATGGCTGAATTGCCTGCTGTCTCCCCTTGCCTACGGAGTTGCTTGTTTGGGCCTACAAAGGCTTTAAAAGGCCTTGCTTTATCTGGGCCATAAATATGTACCTGTCAACTCTCTCTCACTTTTGCCACCCCGGGAACCTCCAAGCTCATGTAGGTTGCTGCCATTTCTTGCCTGGACTTCTGCAATGGTTTCCTAACTGGCCACCCTACTTTTACTCTGGTCCCTTCCATTGCTTCTGGTCCTTTCCAGTGAAAACCTTGTCCCGCCAAACCCCTGCTTCAATCTGCAAGGGCTTCACAGGGCCCCGAGGGGAACAATGGGTAGTCCCCAAAGTTGCCAGAGGCCCTGCATGCTCAGCTCTCCAGCCCTAAGGCCACCCTTTCCTGCTTGCCTTCTTCACATGTAGTCTTGATGTTTTTGAAAGGGTCCCTTTTCCTTTCCATTTCAGTGCCATTGAGCATGCTATTCTCTAAGCCAGGAACGCCATCAGCTCTGCTCAGTAAGACCCAGCTCGAGCCTCTGCTCGCTATTGGGCTCAGCTCCTTGCCACTCCCCGTCCTGTGCCGTATAGGCCCGCCTGGACCTTGGCATCCCTGAACTGCACTTACTCTGCATGGCAACAGCTTGTTTGTTCATCCATCTTGATGACCAGACCCTTGGTTCCTTGAGGAAGAGATCTTGCCTTCCTCATATCTATACAGTGGTGCCCAACAGAGGGCATGGCACCTTCTTGGTCTTGGAGAAACGCTTGTTTGGTAAATGCTAAATGAAAGCAAAAGCAGGCGCAACAAGCCAGAGGAGGTAGAGATAGTTGATTTCAGGTAAATGGGGTCATAAAAGGCTTTACAAAGTGTCTGATTTGGAGATAAGGTTAGAATTAGGAGAGAGGTTGGTTAGAATGACTTGGTAAAGATGGTGCCGGTACTATGCTTTAATACATAATCATGGCATGGTTGAAAGAAAAAGGAGGAAGAGGAGAAGGTAGATACATTAATAAAAGGATATGTAACTCAAATTCAGATGTGGATTCACTCCAGAAGAGATGCAAATTATGTAACAGTCTGAACAGAGTTTAAAATAAAGAGAGTAGCTTGTAGAAAGTAAACAGGAACAATTGAATGATGATAAATACCGAGCATACTGGAAATGAAAACTTTAGCTATGAACATACGCTCCACATTGGACGTAGCTAAAGGGATAATTAGTAAAATGGAAGCTAGCATTGAGGAAATCCCAGAGAATGTGAAGCAGTGAGGCAGATGCAGAAGCAGTGAAGATAGAAGCAGCTTGAGAAGCTGTTGAAATGTGGGTCAGCACTGTGAAAGGTTTAGTAGGGTTTCAGGAAAGGGAGAGTAAAGGGTATGTAGAGAAGGAATATTGGGAGAGATCATGGGTGAAGATTCTCCACATTTAAAGACACAAGTGGTCTCAGAGTG